CCCCCCCAGTGGTTTACCGGGAAGCCATCTTTGATTTGAATCTGCTTTTTAAGATGTAACACTGTAAGGATACATGCTTGGTTTTAGTTGTGCTCGAGCCCCAAAAGTCCACCTGCTTGAGCTGAGGGGCTAGATGGGAGCAGGTGCCTCTTACGGCACTTGTCTCTGTGTGGAATACTTAAGTTCACCCCGAATGTGCAGTAAGCCATGTATCTGGCTTAGTTTAAACACTCAATAAGGCCATGAATCCGAAATCCCCTGAGTTATGGACAGGATTTGTGTTGTGTAGTTTACATAGCATTTTAGATTCATGGGACATTCATATCAAAACATGTTATAATACTAACACAGGGCAAGCCACGTTTCCACATGCTACCATTAATTCTATATCACTCTCCCATGTTATGGGCTGACCCAAGCACAGCTAGTAGTTTCCAACAGGCTGATTATGTATCTCAGACCAATTCATCCATACCTGTCCCTTTTCCTCGTTTCATGTCTTCATTTCTGACTCTGCTTTCCTTTCTCTCTCACCTTCTCCCCACAGCCAAGGCCTTGTAATCCACCTCCCTCCACTAGAACCATTTGCAGAAACTGTAAGGTTTTTGTTTTTGTTTGGTGCACGTGTTCGGGCAGCTCCACCTCTACAAAAGGCCTGCATGTAACAATGAGCGAAGAAATCGGAAATGTACCTACATTTAATATGCGTGTTTTAAAATGACCAAGAAAAAGAATACTGTGAGGTAGGGAAGATGTTTAAAGGACAAAATGCGTCAGCTAGAGAAATAAATGTTATCCTGTATGTGTAATCACAGTCCCTGGAGATCGTTGCGGCATGGAGGCAAACGCGCTTGCCCTTCGCCTTCGAGTCGAGATCTAAGGAGTTTTCATGCCACCTTTTTAAGATTCTTCTGTGTAAAATGTCATAGTTTTATATAAATGTATAATATACCATAATGCATGTTCTGCAGTTGTAAGTAGCTGAAATATTTTAGCAGAGTTTCTACATTAAAATAGCTATGTACAAATATCGCTCAGCTCAAGTAGAACAAATTCTCCTTTAGATACAAGCGGGCAACCATAATGACACCGGTCAGTTCCATAATCAGATACTTTTCCTAAGGAAATCTTTTTTAGAGGTGTGCAAAATGACGAAGTAGACCTTTTTGTTTTGTTTTGCACTGTAATAATGTAACTTATTTAAATAAGGCGCTGCGGTGCGGTGGAACTGTGATGCGTCCGTCTCGAAAGGAGCAGTCCGGCCCTTTAACACCGCGTCCGAACCATGACCTATTGTATATACCAGCGACTGTTCATTTCCGTGCTGACGATTGTAACATGCATCACATGAAACGTGGTTTCAGGTAAATAAACCAATTAAACATGACTCTGCATGTATTTTCTGTGTCATGTGCTGTACAGGCAGCCTTGAATCTGCGTCTAGAATCGTGAGACATACAGGTGAAGTTACCAAGGAATTAGTACTGAAATTATACTTCGGACGCTCCAACTGAATGACGGCCATGTAGCGTTCTTAATACTTTAAATTATGAGATGCTTAAATAACCGTGAGAATGTGGGTCCTTATTTTTAGTGGAAGTAGAAAGTATACCGTGTTTGGGTGAATTTCGTTTACTCTTGAATTTTATCTCTGGCGAGGTGCGCATGCGCACACGATGAACCAAGTACAATTTGAAGGCTATTTTTTATGTTACTCTTAATGACGGGTTCCTTGCGTCCTGTTTCATACGTTAACTTCCTTTTCGGGGTTTAATAATCGTGAAATGAAGCTAAGGATAGTAAATGTTTTGCCAGTGATATACGTTTACTAAAATTGTGATATTTGTACGTGCAAATATTTCCCCGAGAAATTGACCCAAAATACAAAATGTATGCACTGTTTCACAAAATCAGTCACTGTGCCTTTACGTTGGTTTCTCTTGGCTTCGCAATATAACCTTTCTAAAATTCTTTTAACTTACTTTGTTTTCAAAGTGCGTGGATACATGAATGAAAAGTATGAACGTTAGTGAGTATAACTACCCCAAATATAGAGTAACCTCATGTACTATTACAGGTAACCTCTTTGCCCAGCAACTCCGGTTTTAATGGGTCTTTCTGCTGCTGTGCGGTGCGTTGCAAATGTATCAGATTTTCCTGCATTACATGTGATACCGACCTTCTTCCTGTCTGTGTTTAATTGAAAACTCAGTCTCTGAGTACATTTTCAAAGTCAAAATCAATTATTTGTCAGCAAATCGTTAGAAGAAAATCAAAAACCGAAAAATACGTATCAATGTCTGGTGGAGCTGCCTTTTGCTTCAATAACAGCTCTGATGCAGAGAGGTCTTTAGGGGTTTGCAATGGAAATACTAGCAAGAAGAATGAATTACAAATGATATATATACACAATCAAACCTCATTGTTCTACAGAGGGTTCAGCACTTTTGCAAGGCACTGTAGGCAAGTGACTCTAGCTTGTGTCCAGTCACTTTGAAAGGAGGGAATTCATGTGCTTTTACACTGGTATGTGTTTTCTCTAAGTGATATTTCCCTCTAAGAGACTAAGTACTTTCTCTCTTCTGATTAACATGCAGGTTTACTTATGGCATCTAGTTGCATGGGGTTGTGGTTCTGAACAGTTTTGTTCAGAGGTACATAGTTCAGTTCGCCCCACTGGTAGACAGGTCCACCACCAGCTATATCGTTTATATCCTACCATCAGCTACATGCCGCCTGTTGGCGTCGGCTACATGCCTTTAAATAAAACGCTCAGGAGTGATAATTTCATTAATTATAGTTTCCTCTCTGGAGCTGTTTGATGCCAAAATAAGTTTGCATGTAGATCTATCTTCAGAATTTCTCCCTTTTCCATAATTGATTGTCTAGTACAGGGCATGGTAGTCTTGTAGCCTTTCCCAGTAAATGCAGGGCAGAAGGCAGGAAACATGGTCAGAAGGTCACAGGTTCAGATTTCAAGAATTGATGGTACCTTTGGCAGGGTGTCGAAGATTAATCACATCCTCTGCAGTTAATCTACAGAATGTCAGTGTTGAAATTTCCAAATGCATACTCATATCTCGTGCAGGTGTGTTTGTAGAATAACAGTGGAACTTTAGCACACCTATACTGTTGTCAGATAAGAGAATGAAGTATATTGATCATGAGCATCAAGCTTATGGGAGTTTTGCTTAATGTTCTGAGGGCAGAAGGAAAAATGTTTGGTTCAGAGAGAGAACCAATCCGATTGTAGAGGTGGGCCCAAGCAACTATAGGAAATGAGAACATTTGTGTAAGAAACTCCCATGAGCGAACTGCAACCAGTACGACCGTGTGTTTGCGGCATCCATGAGTGCATGTTGGGTCAGGCATCTGTAAATGTGAGCTTACAAACATGCCCCAGTTGAAATGCATTCTAGTCAAACCCGGTTCTAACAGACCCATCTCGGTGATGTAGTCTTCACAGGCTCACTGAACACGATTTGTACGAGTATCTCAGGTTCTCTTCATTCTTCTGCTTCTGTCTGTCCTGTTTCGCTTATTTACCGTAACATGACTAATCAGATGAAATAAATATCTAAATATACCAACCTTCTGGCCTGAAGTGTATGTTTGAAATAGTCTCACAAAGGCAGATTTACAGTCCTGATATTGTTTATTAAAAAATTACAACCAGGAAAGTCACAAAAGCGATTTAAGCAACCCCACAGACGTTTTAGGGTTATCAAAAAAAGGGTAGCATACGGTTTTAAAAGAATACTTTATTCCATATTGAGGGAATGCTTAAAATCAGTCAAATGAACCCAGCTTGGTTCCACAGCCTACAGGCAAGGCATTGGACTCCCGGATATGTATAAAAATCATCTGGACGGGACAAGTGTACCCACTTAGCTGATTAAAAATGTATCCAGTTTTTATTACTGGCCTGGAGCAGAAAGACTTTTGTTCATGAACTGTTTCTTCACAAAGCAAAGCCACCACTGTGAGGATTTAAAAAAAAAAAAAGTTAGATGCATTATACATAATTTTTACCATTTTAGGAGTACTTAACATTTAAACTTGGTGTTATGTCCACATCCTTGTGCTTATGTACTGCTAATCAAGTACAGGTCATCGTCGACTTAACACCACGATCAGTACCGATTGACCGGTCTAAAGTCAATTTGGATGCAAGTCAGCCCTTTATTTTATATGCGAAATGTGTGTATAGTATACAGTATAATAACATTCTAACATCCTTAAGTCATATTGCTTGATGCTTTTAACCTTTTTAAATCACCATTTTCTTAGTTCATTGCTGCCAGCAGTTGGGGCAGAAGCTGAGATACACTCACGCTGGGCTACACTATTTCCGGTCTCAGAACAGTCGTATAGTCGATCAGTCTTAAGTCGCATAGGTTGTAAGTCGACGACGACCTGTACAGGGTGACGGTAACCCTGCAGCCTATCCCAGAATGCATGGGGACACCGTGGACAGGATGCTAGTCCACAAGGCACCTAAGCCATATCGTTGAACTACATAAGGAAACTAGCATAAACAGAGAACATACCAGCTCCACACACTGACTGAAACTCACCACCCTGGAGGCTTACTGTGTCACCATCCTCTATTCTTCAGTGTGACACAAATAGTTCACAGTAGATAACTAATGAGAAATTGAGAACTGAAGCCGTCACGTAAATTAACCTGCTCCTCAACCTGCCTGTGAGCTGTGAAATAATAGGAACTCACTTTGCTGGGCTTGTCCGTCTGGGGATCGAAGACGCGTTCGCACAGCCGCAGGCCCGTCTCCTGCCGAACCTGCTGCAGGTAGGCCCTCATGGTTTCTGTGGGTCAGCATGGGGACAGTGATCAGCGTTGCAGCACCTGGCCAGACCCAGGACACGTTCCGCCAGCGAGCCAATGAAGGAGCCCAAAGCGGTCTGTGGCCAGTCAGGCCCTCGTGTCCACAACAAGTCTCACCGCAGGATAATGGAGTATTTCTGTGTGTCGTTTATCCAGTGTTTCTCAAACCAGTCTTTACTCCCCACGAACTCCCAGGGAATTGAGAGAACAAAAACGTGGAGCATCTGGGGTCCCCGTTGGACTGGTTTGCTGTAAAACTGCATGGATCTAGACTGAACCTCCCAGCTCCAAATAACATGCCTCCCCTTCTCCCCCCCAGCCATCATCCCCTTACCTTCTTCCGCTTTCCCCGAGGGCTTGACGTACATGGCGTTCAGGGGGAAGCCGGGCTCCCCTGGGATGGGGAAGTTTGTGATGCCCAGCGTGTACATCTCCTTCTCACCCTGACTCCTGGAAGTGCACTGTAAACGAGACATACGGCTGACGGCCAGCAGCTCCCAAGTGCCCAGCGATTCCACAGAAAGGTCCTCATCTTTTTACATTTCAGCCTAAAATGTCCTCTGTATCAGGGGGAAAAAGAATTAAAACAATCAAATGAAACATGAGGGTGTGTGGGGGGTTTGCCCCTCTTTACCTTCTGAAATTTCTTCAGGCACTCAGAAATATACAGCGTGACATAGATCAGCGTTCTGTCCGCCTCATTCTGCAAAGGAAATGAACAAGTCTTCTTTAGACCCATTTATCATATGAGAACGGCTTCATTTTCTGTCACCACTATTCAGGATTATGGGTATTCAGAGCCTCTCAGAAACAACGGGCACACGGCAGGGAATAACCCGGGACAGGGCACCGACCCATAACACAGCACTCACACACCATTCACAAACAACTCGAGAACTCTGAAGAAACCCGAACTCCGCACAGAGCCAGGGCAGGGAATCAAACCCGTCTCCCCTACACCCCCCTGCGCTCCTACATCACCAAAATACATGCTAAAGTATCACTGTAAAATGAACAGGTACAAATCTACCAGATACTGAGAAAATAATGGACACACTACAACACAGCAATGACATGTCAGAACTATGAAAAGGCCTCGGTCACTGGAGACAGAAAAGTGGCATCAATCACACCTGATTCATGGAGCTTCACGCTTCCAAAAGTCATCACCATGGGCTAGAAGAACCTGCTACTTAAACTACCTCACAACTGTGCACCTCACTGCTGCCAAGTCATAAGGTGTGCATGTTCTCCAGCTACATCTAAGCTGCTAATAAGCTAAGGAATGAGCCCTAAATTGGTTTATAGCATAATATTTTGTTGTGTGCACAGTTGAACCCACTTTAGTCCAGCAGGTCCTCAGTTGAGGAGCACTGGTCTACAACAGGAGGGCTCTGGAATGGGGGTGGGGGTGTCGTCGTGCCCTTCATGGCTCAGGTACAGCCAGTTGCTTTTGGGGGGGGCGGGGGGGTGCTTGCGTTACAATGTTGCCAACTTTGGCGAGAGAGAGATGGTAACGCTGGAGTTAAAAAGCAAAACTATGAGAAGAGCGCGCGGCTTTCAGCGGGGCGTGTCCGGGCACGTAAGAGCGGGAGGTCTATGGGTTCAGACCGTGTCTCGCGTGAGCTACAACAGATTAAAGACCGAATCTGAAAAACGTGAACGGAAACACGAATACAGACTAACGCTACGGCATACCATCACCATCTTACTGCACACTCGAGTGAAATAAGCCGTGCATCTTACCTTGATTTCATAGTTCTTGAAGAAGACGTTAGCTTTGAAGTGGTATATGGCCTCATCAACGATGTCAGTCTCTCTGGCTAAAATCATTAAGCGATTAAATTAAAATCCTCTTCCTAGTAGCTAGTCAAGGCGGGGCAATAGCGCACCATTTCCAAATTAGGAAGCAGAAGATGATCTCTGAGGTTTCCATCCGCTACATAATTATACTATTCAAACTGGACAAGTAATAAAAGCGAGTGCAAAAAATAAATAAAACGAAGGAAAATCGACAGCTTTAACCTGACTGCAGTCAACTAAATGCATTACACAGAACGGATTCAAAAGGCTGCTACGTCGTTAAGTGTCCGTGTACAGCCGACATCTATTACTCAGTGTTTTGCACAGTTAATAGATTAAGGCAGACGAACGTACTCTCTTTCGGAGCAGGGCCTTTAAACTGGGTTTTCAGCGGCAGCAGAGCCATATTCCCCACCAGTTTGGTGTCGGGCTCCATCAGACTCGAATGGTAAGCCTTCACAAAAGGGGAAGTAGTGGATTAAAACAAAACGAACGAGCTTATTACAGCTAGCTTTCTTACAAATGCACATAATGCGTAAATAGCCTTTTTCGGATCTTAACACAGTTTTTACACAAACGTCGGAATTTTTTGCCGGTATGTTACAAGATGTTTATCCATTAGTCCTGTACAAATAATGCAGAAAATAATCCTCTCTGAAGCGCACAGTTTAAGCATTGTCCATTATAAACACGGTGTCGCGTGAATAGGCTCACTTACCGGCATTTTAAATCTTAGTTTGAGTATCTAACTCGGAATAATTGACCGTCGGCGTGCAGCGCTGCCGCTTCCGCTGTCCCACCCAATGCGGATCATACAGGAAGCAGACGGGGCGCCTCCTATAAAAACGCCGCAGTTCCCCGAAATGTCCACAGGGTGGCGCGGGCGCTCCTTTCGCGAAGGACGTCAATGCCGCGGCTTAAGCGTCAGCTATTGTGCCCTGGGGCCCGAATGTCTGTACACGGAAGCAAAAGACTCTGTACGTGTTTTCTCCTATCAAAGACATGCTGTTTTACTTGACTTTAATTTGCCAGTATAGATACTCTATATTTGTATGCATTTATGATGGTACCATCCAATGGTTTGGCATCCTATCCTGAGCTCACTCTGTTTTAATCTTTGTACTTCCCATGACAGGGTAGCTATGACTCTAGATTAGGGGTGCCCAACTCCAGTCCTGGAGAGCCGGAGCCCTGTGTAGCTTAGTTCTTTCCCTGTTCCACCATAAATGATTCAGCTCAAGAGCTGTGTGGTAATTAGCACAAGGAGTTGAATCAGGTGTGTTAAATGAGGGAAAACCCAAAAATGTGCAGGGCTCCGGCCCTCCAGGACTGGAGTTGGGCACCCCTGCTCTAAATGGATGAGCAGTCAATTAAAAATGCTATAGATGATACCCTTTGAAACTTTACAGAACAAACAAGTGTAAGTTTTAATTGAAAAATATACTCCAAACATTTACAGTCTTCCCAAGAGAAATGTGGTGCAATTCCATTCCATTGCTAAAAGCAACACCAAGGTCAAGCCTTAAAGAGAAAACAAAAAAAGACACAACAGAAATATCTACGTACAATGAATATTAAAATCGCCACAAGAAGTGTGACATTCTGTGTCAGGTGAATTTCTTCAATAAATTAAAACCTGTTGTCTGATCTTTGCTCCTTTCTTCCACAGTTTAGAGAGTGATTTGAGCACTTGCTTTTTCACCACTCTGACGCTGTTTTGAAAGCACATTGAAAGGCCCCTTGGTATCTTCCTCTCAGTCCTCAACTTTGTCTTGAAAGAACTCATCATAGTTCGTGTTGGTGAGTGGATCCTCTTCAGACTCCTGTAAAAGCAGCATGGGGAGTCGGTGGCAGGAAACTCGTAAGATCTGCTCCTTATTTCAGGAGATTGTTTCAGATTCGTCATAGAGCGTTCACCCCCACAAAGGCCATCATACTGGAACAGAATCACAGCCCAATTCATTACATGCAGCAGTCAGTCTGGTTACCTTAGGCTCCTTGAACTCAAGGTCCTCTCCATACTGGATGGAAAAGTCGATGTGCTGAAGGACGATGTTGATCCCTTCCTCATCTGTGCGGTCGAACGGCAGGAAGCGCACCATGCTATAGTCATCGATCTGCGGGCACACGCGGTACGTCGATGTAGCAATACTGCATTCTGACCACTGGATGTCGATAAAGAGTTATTAGGAGATCCAATAGAAGGTCAAGCACCCTGATGATTTAAGCTGAGAAATATTCCTTCCAAGTTGTCCATTTAGTACAAAATATCCTGAAGGCCGTAAGTCCACCAGTTCTATAAATCATCTCTGAATTCCCTATGCATTGTTTAACATTCAGATTTCAGCAAAGGAGAAACAAAATGCTCACACAACCTTGTAGACATCTCTACCTGCCCGTATTTAACACACTTTCAGAGGAGAACCTACCAGACCACAGATGGCTTCAGTGAGCTTCTTGAACTTCTTACTTCTCAGAGTGAGTGCTTTGTCCTCCATCATTGAATACATATCTGGGTCTAGATATCTATAACAAAGAAGGAAATATACCATTTTAAAATTTAAATTCAATTGGATGGGGGAGAGAGAGGCTCCACAGTTCTGATTTGCCACTGAAATCATAGACAATCACAGCGACACAACAACTCACTTCTCAATTTCCTTTTTGGATTTATTGCTGAGCAAGTCCATCTTCGTCATGATGTTGACCTGAGGGATTTCAAGTGACACCATGGCGCTCAGGGCAGCCATCACCCCAGATATGAACTGGGAAAGACAAACAGGGGCCGTGTTTAGTCCCAGGTGCCTTCAAGGCGTCTAATGCTCACACAGCCATGTTTTTACATGAACATTTTTGATTATTTGCTTGGTCTTTGCACTGGATGTTGTTGAAATGCTAAGTGGGGATGGAAGCGTGACAAGTGAGTGAAGAGCGCGTCAGCGCGAGGCTCCTACTTTGAAGGACTCCACCATAAACTGTGAGTCGACCAGGAAGACGCCACAGACCCGGAACTCCCACTGCTGTAGCTGCTCCACCAGCTGCTTCATGACGGGCAGGTGGGTGTACAGCTCGATCTGACCTGGGGTCAGACAGTCACAGGGGAGCGGAGCACCACCCAGCCCCACAGCGACAGAAGGCATTGTGTTCAGAGCTTGTCACTGGTCTAACATGGCGTAAACGTAATAAGCATAACAAGTGAGCTAATACGCAGGAATATTTACAAAAGTATGATCTGTTTTCTGGCTGTAATGTTGGAGTGCCACATGTTTATTTTTAGGTGGACTGAAAGGAAAAAAATGAACACATTTTGTAATATACTAACAACAGAGTTGTGTAATGCAGGAACAGAGAGTAAAAGTCCAGACCGGGATTTTGTTTCAACCAACCAGTTGAGTACTCTGTGACTATGACTCTTTATGCTCAACTGGTTATCTGAAACAAAATCCCGATCTGGATTTTTACTCTCTGGACCTGAATTACTCAACTCTAGCTAAAAATGTATATTTTCGTCTTTCAGTAATGAATTCACACTGCGTGCAAATGTCATGCTGGCCTGAAGTTATGAGCTGCATTCCTGCCTACAAGTAATTAAATCACATTTCTGTCTGAGATGTACCCCCATTCCAGTGTTATTCACTATTGTGGTAATAACCCCACTCTGAGGATTGTGAAGGCTCCTTTCTCAGGTTATTCCTAGTAACATTCCATGCAAATACAAAAGAAATACTAATGATACAACGACTACCGGTAATAATAAGGGGGAACTATTACTATTATTATTTTTATTATATTATTGCGGCGTACCGGGGCAATCAAACAGGATGTAGTCGTCTTCTACGTGACCCAGACACTCCTCCAGCCAGTCAAAATTGTTGGCGAAGTACTCCATACAGAAGACGAGTCCCCCGTTGGGGCCAAACCTCAGGGAGTCATCTTCCATCACGTCGTCCACCTCGATAAGCTCGCGGATATCTGTGAAAGGGAAGAGATTTACTATTAAGGTAAGCGCGCATCCGCTTCCAATAGCTAGTAATAAGTCTATTTCTATCCGTGGTTTACATATTTACCTGCCATGACCGGGTAGCTGAAGTGTTCAGCTGCAGGGTCTAGATTCACCACCTGTATGGAGCGGTTGATGGTTTCGGCGTGCTGTACCATGGTGGAGCAATAGGTGCTCTAGAATAAGAGTATATAGCATCAAAACATCTTAAGCAACCTTACGAGTAATACGAACAGCCTATCATACGGGATGGGACCCGCAGCATGTACGGATAAGTACAGTACTTAAATGTCGTCTACCTAGATATCTACAAAGAAATACTTCAATAACAGGGTAGGGTTTTGCTTCAGAACGTACATAATCCATACGATTACTTGGCCCTAAAGCTAATCAGCAGCTAGCGCAGACTAACAGAGATGTTATTATGGCGAGCCGGCTACTTACTTTCCCGCTACCAGCCGGGCCCATCACCAGTTGGGCGTAACGTGGCATTTTTTCAGAATAAAATCTTCTTTCTTCTTTTTGTAAGCAATATTCCCTTTGATAATCCGAGTATTGGTGGCTGTATTTCTGACACTGGCTAATCGTTACATTTTCCTATCTGACGCTGCTTCAGTTCTCACACCACGCTTGTTCACCCCTATAGCGTTCCTGTGACGTACGGGTTGAGATTTGAGCCAAACTTCATAAATCGCGCTTCGTAATTAAACGTATATAGAGGCTTTAATTCCGTAGAACTGACATCGACGTACTTTATTTAGGTTGTCAACTGCATTTTATAAGAGAAAAACAAAACTCAACGTAGACGTATTCTATACTCTTCGTTTTAGTCATTTTGATAAAATGTTATAATGTCTGTCGGTAGTCGTATTAAAATGCATTAAACATGCCAAAAAAGTTCATATTCAATCAGTTTCAGACACTAAGAAAGTATAGACTATATCATTTTGATATCTTGTAACATGTTTGGAGACGACCAATGCTCATTTGAAAACTGTTTGATATGTTTTATTTACACAGCTGTAGTAGGGCTATGCTTTTGACCCAAGAGAGGTTAGTAAGCAAAACGATTAAGATGATCATTTGTTATCTGTGTCGTAACAGTGGGGTCATCGTTTCATCTCCTCTTCAGAGGACAAGTCACTCGCTAAAGTGTATCAGGTACATTTAAACCTCACGTTCTTTCTGTTAGTGAAAGTAAGGAAATTTCGTTATTCCATCATTCATTACCATACGTATACAGACCTCCTGGTAGTCACCTTTATGTTTTTTTACTTCAATGTCAATTAATTCGCTACATATTTTCATGTACATCTCTAAATTACTCAGTTTTTAATTTGTAGGTCTTCATTTTAAAATCTATAATTAATTGGGAGTTAAGGGAATAAGCATCAAACCAATATAATTTGTCATCAAGGTATTAAGACTTCAATAAAAACCAATGCTTCACTGCAGGATTCAGGGCTGTGAAAATCCAGGAACGGAGGTACTACACAGGAAAGCTGAAACAAATGTATAATCTCACAAAATGCTTTCAGTGACTCTAAATATTTAGTCATATGTAATATTGTATTGTAATGCGCCCCTCCCGCCCAATCTGTACGGTCCCTGCAGCTTTACTGAAATCCAAGACAAATATTACTGCCTAAACCTTAACTATCACTTTCCTGAGTAACACACTAGAATGAGAGATAGATTTCCAAAGAGGTCGTCCTTTAATGGAACCATCTCCCGGTTCGCCACTCAAAAAGAAGTGAGATATGCAGCACAAACAGCACAAGGCTCTCTGGGCTGGTCGTGGTGTTTCTGAGAATTTCAAGCATAATAACGTTGTCATACTCATCGATAAGGTCAGTGAAATGTAAGAAATATTTTGTTTCAAATATACCCACGTTGATGTTATCCTGTAAAAATGCACAACACCATCAACAGGTTTCAAATCTCGTAAATGATTAATGTGATTTTATTTTCGGTAACAAAATAAGAGCCTGGATCTAAACCTTAAACTGGTGGATATTCACATGGAAACGAAAGATGTGGCACACACACGTCCTACTTTGCCAGAGCAACACATGGGAGACGATATCCGGGTCCTCCAGACAGTGTGGTAGACTGTGCAGACGCTGATGACATACAGGAAGTATTATACATTTTCATTAAGCCAGCAGATGGTTACGGTCCATCCTCTCAGGTTAGTAATGTGGAATGAAGGGACCCCCCTCCCCCCCCCCCCCCCCCGCCACTGCAGCTTTTAGGACTTCTTGTATTCGATCCTCTCCACCTTCACGTCGTCTCCGATGAGCTGGTATACATATGTGACGACCGTGGAGGCCTGGATGTCCATTAAAACGAAGGATGGGATTATATTGCTGGGGAGAAGAAAAACAGCTCATGAATGTTAGTTAGACACACAGAAGATGGAGCCTCCTGCCCCAAGAGACATTCGCAGGTGATGAATAAATCCCGGCTGCAGTAGAGAATACCTCTCCAGTGCACTGTAGGCCCCCGTGGCTGAGCCGGGGTTAATGTAGAATTTGTTCTCGTTCTCAAAGGCTTCGAACTTATGCGTGTGACCCGAGATGAGGATGTCCACGTCCAGCTGCCGCTGGAGCAAGGCCAGGCTGGCCATGTCACCCCAAGGGATCACCTGATGCCCGTGGATCAGGCCAATCTTGAACTGGCCCACTGTCACCACCTTCTGTTCAGGGTAGTTCAGGTTCTGTGGGCGGAAACAGTGAGAACCACTTGACCTCACTGGCTAAAATGCACTCAAAACAACTCAGTCAAACTCCAGTCATGTGACTCAATCCACTGATCATTCTAACCATTGTTCCCAACGGCTTAGGCTGCATGCACACACATTCAGACAGAGTTGGTGTCCCAAGTCTGCAATGTTACCAGAACAACACCGGACTCAAGAGCATCTGTGGGGTTTGTAATTCATGTTTGTAGTTTGTTACCAAGGTGCACTGTCTGTCTACAAAAATTTCTTTAGAAAGGATTCTAACAAGAAAACAATGTATTGAACAAAATATGTCCAATAAATTACTTTTCCTTCCAGATCTATGGCCAAGAAAACATACAAGATAAAAAGCGTAAACCGTGACTTTTCAATGGTTGTAAGCTGCATGCATGAGCAAAGAAAAACATGTTTCTACCAAAACAAAACACCACATCTGACTGCTCAATACTGGTTACTTCATTAAAATGATAGAACCTTCAGCAGAGTACCTCTACTATTGAGTTTTAAATAAGTGCTGGTTTGGAAAGGCTTGGGGGGCCCCCACCTCATCAAAGTCGCCGCGGACGATGTGCACGTCACCCGCCAGGGTCTTCAGGTAGTCGTAGCTCTCCTTGGTGCACAGGTTCCCAGTACAGAGGATGTGCTGGATCTTGCCCGGAACCAGCAGCTTCTTGAACTTGGCTGGCAGCGTATTACAGCGGTGGGGGATGTGGAGATCTCCGAGCACCAGGACCAGCTTGGCACGGAGGTGGGGGGGGGTGGAGTGCAGGGTTCACTTTAACCAGCGGTCAGATGGGGGGACCCCATTTACAACCCAGGAAATAAATCCCCCCCCCACCCCCAATCACACACACACACACACACTAGGGCTGGGCGATATCATATCGATATTATATCGCGCACGTGTAATAATCACTAGGACTTCAGATGACTGGCGCAACATTTGGCCATGCACCAGCTTTTCGGTGCTATACGGACATTTATTTACGTCCACAATTTAAGCAGTTTAGTAGTATGGCTAAAATATTAATGAGGCTTTGTATGACGTCTAAAAGTCATTATTAGTATAAATACGGCATATCCTTATGTTTAATAAATGTGTCAGACTTTGAACTGCAAAAAGTACCACCACACCGCCGACGTGTTTTTACGTCGTTTATCTACAAGATCTCCTCTTTTAAAAGATGTTGTGGCTGCTCTTCTTCACCGCGACTTCAGTGCATATTGCACTGAGGTATACAAACCGTAGTATACCAAACCGTAGTATACCAAACCGTAGTATTCCAAAACAGTATTATATGGGGTGCTCCGCTAATCGAATTTAAGAAACAAAGCTTATACAGATTACTAATTTTTGGGTATCACAAAACGCATCTCATTAATATTTAAGCCATACTACTAATCCTCTTACCAAATTATGGGTGTAAATTAATGTCCTTATAGCACCGAAAAGCTGGCGTCCGGCCAAATGCTTCGTCTGTCATCTGACCAGGGCGGTGATTATTGCGCATGCGCGATATAATATCGATATGATATCGCCCAGCCCTAACACACACACACACACACACACACACACAGAATTGACCAAAGAGGGCATCACAAGCTTACTGAGAGTCACACACTGGGTTGGCATCCTGTGTTTAACCAAACACAGACTTTCAAATACAGGGACATTAAATTCCCATCTATATATACACAGGTATATACACAAAAGCAATATATTAATACCTATAACTCAATGCTTAATTGATACTGATTAGCTATACTCTGAAAGAGTTGAGTCCCTGTTAAAACATATGAATATTAATAATTCACTATAATTAGAGTGAGTTTCAATGGTTGACACCCACAGTCCCTCCTGCAGAAAACACGACCCTTTCATTTTAATGCCCCAGGAGGGCGAATCCGTGCTCCTTCAGGGCTGTAGTTTGCATCCCTTGTGCTGTTTTCCCCAAATCACGGCAAAACGTGACGAGTGCCACCAAACGTTAATGTTTTCAGGCTAAAGCTGAATGATACGTGTCTCCTGTTGCCCCAGGCTTCTAATTAAACCAGCCTCTCCCAACCCAAGTCATCCAGCAAAACTCCAGGCACTGAAGGACGACTTCCCAAGATCCATCAGAGAAGGAACCCAGAACGGCATGAGGGACTTGTGACTGGTGTGCCACTGAATTAAGAGCAATAAAACATTAGCTGTATGAAGTACAAGCCTCCCCTGATTCTCAGTTTGTGCATGTTACAGAATGCAGGAGCGCAGAAATGGTTAAAAAAAAACAAAACAAAAAAACTATTGCTACATGCCAGTTTTACACAATAAGATGCTTGCATCAGTCCAGCAGTGATATCAGTGCCCTGTTACTATGACAGCCATCCCCATTAGTCTGCAGAACAAGCCTCCACAAGCAAATGACCAGGAGAGAGATTCATGAGAAAGAGGAACACTTACTCTGTGACCAGCCTGAATGCAACGGAGAGGTTGATTGGAGACAGAGGGAGGGTATGTTTGGTGAAGCAGGGAGGGGGCGGAATGACATAAGGCATAATCAAAGTTTTAAGAAAAGAAAAAAGTGAGAAACATCAAATTAGCAAATCAAAAAATGAGCAAATTAATAAATGAATCAATCAAACAAATAAGACATGTTAGATATTGTGATGTTCAGCAGGGTTAGTTTTATGAATGTGAGTGAGAAAGCTTTGGTAATGCTTTTGTGGCATAATTATATTATAAAAATACATCCAAAATTTTGTAATAAGAATCTTCAGGGAAAATCCCTTATGCTTATTACAAACCATGTCATTCATTCTTCAGTGAGTTGATTTCCTATATGTGATAAATTATTCAACAACAGAAATTCCATTTAGATTAAATACTGCTTATACTGAATGATGAATGACAACTAGAATGACCATCTTTATCTGTGCATTTAAACTACACATTAACGAACGAATATAAAGATAACTGGCCCGGGTTGAGAACATTCAAAGTGAAGTAATTGTTGCTTTCCAGCCAGATGCGTGCCTGGTGTGGGTTAGTGTAAGCCGGCTAACGACGACCCTTGGATCGCCGAATCCAAGGAGATCGGCTGTTACCGGAAGCCCAGCTATGCACCGCGTAACAGACTGTAATTATTAAAATGAAGAACTCAAAATGAAAACAGAGAAGACGTGATTCCAGCAACGAACTTCTTTTTCTCCCATTTTCACCTGTCATGTGACCATTCGCCCATCTCAAGGCATCCCGTCAAGCTACGATCTTGCTAAGAGCGAGGGTTTAAAATATAACTACGGCGTTGCATTATTAACGTTCTGCACCCCTCACGCAATCACTGCAAGCATGCAAAGGCGCTTTATATTTATTCAAGGTAAGCTTAAATTAATGTTTTCGTCTTACCATGTTTATTCACCTAGTATCCCCTGTGGTTCAGGAAGTTGCGGCGCACAGAGTCAATGACGTATCACATCCAGTAACAGCTTCACCCAATGAGAGGCAAAATCCTCGCTGCAGCGAGCGTGCCAACGGTACGGGTCCTCACAAGGGACAAGCTTTGCTAATGATTCGGGAAAAACAGTAACAACATGATGTTATAATTTGTGGAATTATAACCAGAGATCGGTATACTCAGACATTTACATTTACCACACGACCCTACCCAGGATAAGCGACTGGAATATGAACAGATAGATAGAAAGATGGATGGATTAACGTTTACAATTACACTTCCAAGGGTGTACACTAGACAAATAACAACACTGCAACGCCCCCGCGCGGTACTTCGCAGTAAAATCAACTCTGAGGTTAACGCTAGGGGGCAGTGCACCCCGTGTAGTTATATATTTCCCGAAAGAAATGTATGTGCTGTGAGGGTAGGGAGGAATATGCTATAAATGACAGCTAATAGGAAAAGAAATCTTAAGCTTTATTAGTCTGTTTTGCCAAATCTTTTTTTATTGTATTTTTATTTTTTTTTTATTTTTATTGTAATATGGATGTTAAAAGCAAACACAAGTTGAATAAGCATCAATCATATAGCTTAAAATGTGGACATTAATATATATTTCTGTCTTCCATCTATACATCTTCCATACTGGTTATCAATTTTCTGTAAGAAAACAAGTAGCAGAATATAAGGATATGGTAATGTCATACTTGGAAAATCTGTTTGCACAATTTAGATTGCAGCAGTACACATTTGAGCTGTAGTTCTTATAGCAATGTTTTCCATGGACAGTGATTTTAAAAATGATAAACATAAACTCTGTGGTTAAGTAGGGCTCTTTCCAGTTAAAGCTCTTGACAAAGGTCAAGCCCTTTCTGAGCTTTGATGACCTTGAAAGGGTCACTCATGCATTTATTTAGTCTTGTCTCGATTACTGTAATTCTCTTTATGCTAGAATCAGACAGGCCTCTATTTCTTGTCTACAATTAGTCCAAAATGCCGCAGCACGGCTGCTGACAGCAAAGGCAAAGCAGGATCACATTTCCCCCGATACTTGCTGCACTGCACTGGTTACCGGTGCGTTTTCGGATTGAATTTAAAATACTAACATTTGTTTACAAATCTCTTAATGGCCTTGCTCCCACCTTTCTGTCAAAGCTTTTAAATAAGTATGTTCCACATAGGACCTTGAGATCAGTAGACCAAAGCCTTTTGCTGATCCAGAAATTTAGGCTGAAGCTTAAGGGAAATTGTGTGCTCGCAGTTGCAGGCCCAATATTGTGGAACAATTTGCCCCTGCAGATTTGGCAGGCGCCAATATTGTCCACGATTAAAGCTTGCTTAAAAACCCATTTTTATTCTTTGGCTTTTGATTCAGTATAGGAGCCGTCTAGTGGCATGATGTTGTATGTGTTTGTCCTCTTTGCATTCATGATTTGTACAGCATTTTGTGCCAACCTTGGTTGTCTGAAATACGCTATAAAAATAAACTGAACTTGAATTTTTTTTGCATCACCCAAATCATTGTTTTTAATTTGAAACACATCCTATACAGTATTGCTGTTAATGGTCACAAATCTTCATAATATTCCAATGGTGTGTAAATATAAAAATAACTAGTTTACAACTTTACACTGCAACTGTGCTATTATTTCTGTGCAAAGAATTGAAAAATATCACCCAGGCGATGTAATTCCACATTCTAACCCGTGATCTTCTATAATACACAACTTTTTTCTTTGCATAACTGCTTGAAGGTCTAAGGTCACATAATGTATGTAAATGCCTAACTGGCAGTTAATTTATATAACCCTTCCCATTAGCAGCTGAGCTAATGAAAAACCCCCGACTTGGCTCGAGAGCAATTTCCACACATCATTTGTCTGAAAGAGAGTGACGTTACCGTTTATACCAGGGGGAAAAAATCTGTCATCGCAATTTTACTAGCTGAAGAGAGTTGGTGGTTTGCGAAGCGATATTTGATCAGGCAGGTGTGTCACGAGTGTTACTTTTTTAGGAAATAAGGCAATCAGTTGGCAGAAGTATGAGTTTTATATTACATACGTTGTTTGCTCCTCCAGTGCATATATTTGACATGATCAGTGCCCACCAGCTTCATCTGTTACTAAATATTAGCTGCTGGCCTGTGGACCTAATTAATTTGGATTGCGTATTCATAAGATCCTCTCTGGAAGGGCCTGTGGTATACCCCCTAGAATGGCCCCATCCAATGACGCTTGCAGTTTTAGATAATAAAAAGACCCCTTGCTGAATCTCTGGGGCTCACCGTGACTGTACAGGCTAGTCCTGAACCCCCCCATAAGGGAATCATTGTGATGTGACGAGAAGGAGCATTTTCCCGGAGAATGGGACCACATGGGCAGCGTTTGGCCAACCATGACCAAACTCCCTGATACAAAATGGACTGAAATCACCCAAAAAATGCAGGCAGGCCACATGATCCAGCAGATGTTTACTGAGACAGTTATTATTTTCAGGTTAATCTGTTCAATTCTCGGCATGACAGATGAGTGCACTATTGCCTCACTGTGCACACATCAACACACACTTAAAACACCAGTTTTGTCCCTAAAGGCTACTTTGCATACAAAGACCCAAACATCACTCAGGATGAAACCTGTCAGGATTGATGCTTATGTGGAATTTGGGGGGTGGGACTAGTCACTGATAGGATATTTTGCTAGAACAAGTACTTGTGATTGTAAACTGGAAGAACAACTGTCAGGATATGAACCAGCAATCTACAGGATACAAATCCACATTCATAACCACCACACTGCCTGCTGAGTGCTTAGATGTTATCCTGTTCCTACCCAACCCCTAATATCACGCTCTTCAGCTCCATGAGACACAGATCCCTTAAATAAGACCTTGTGAACAGCCCAAGAATAAATAATACCCTTCTCCTCAAGTTCAGATCCTGCAACCTCCCAGCATCTAATTCAAATCTGTGCCATGCTGTTCCCCGACAGTGACCAGGAACGACACCACCTCGATTTTGTGCAGCAATACGATATCTGGGATTGTTCCTGTCAGTTGAGTCCCTCGGTGCTCGTGATGCTGGTTATTGTCCTCCTATCAGCTCTAAGCCCTCCCACTTCACAGCAGTTGATTTGTTGGGTAGAAAAGTGGGCGGGATCATCAGGGATACAAAGCAGTCAAACAGAAATGGGTAAGACAAACACTACAGTGAAACATTACTGTATATATATGTCCATCCATTAGTCCTTCAACTACTTACCTTGTATACGGTTACAGGAAACTTGGCGCCCCTATATACATGTGTAGGTGTGTTACATGGTGTGGCAATGAATCACATCAGTAAACGGTGACCTTAAAACTTGTCGACAATAAGCCTGGAGCTGCCTTATGGAGAGCCAGGGGGGCGAAGTTTGTAAGTAGCCGTGTTTGTAACGCAGCTCAGGGCCAGGACTAAACCTGCGGTGTGGCTGGCATTTCGAGCCGCGTGCCGGGAAAAGCAGAGAAGAAGCAGAGGTAGCTTTAGAGAGATGTATCGGAAAGGGCTAACAAGGGGCAATGCAATTATCACCCCCCTCCCCGCTGTCTCTCTCTCCCTCTTTGACGGTCACTTGTGTGCTGTAATATAAATCCGAAAGATTGGGGTCAAACACACGGACATATCATACACCCACATACACCTCAATGGGCCTTAGGTCCGCTCACATATTCAGTGTAATTCCACTTCTGTCGCTGTAACTGTATTTTCACTGTCGAGCGCAGTAACTGGTGGATCGTTGGGCCATCGCCGAGCTGAGCTTAGAAACAAGCCTTCGCTTTAGGAGCTCAGGTCACATGTTAGGCTATGAGGCTGCATGGCATGGCTGGAGCAGCCTGCTTCCTCTCCACATAGAGGTTGGGAGAACATTAAGGCCCAATCCCAATTCTACCCCTTACCCCTACACTTACCCCTACCCCTCCGTTTGGCGCGTTCATGTGTAGGGGTAGGGGTGTCTCAATTCTCTTTTGATTGGAGGGGTAGGGGTAAGCGGAAGGGCTAGATAGCCCTCGAAACGAAGATTTTTCGGGACCTCACTTCAAACGAAGGGCTAAGAGAAATTTACAACATGGCTGCCCACTCGAGCAAGCAGACCCATAAATGTTAAGTAATTTTTGCCATTAATAAGGATTTTTATGACATTTTTTCATTACATGTATATTACCATCAATCTTGTGTTTGTGTTTACGGTGATGTTCTGTAAAGAAACGTTTGAAAAAAAATCGCTAAAGTTTGCTTGCGGATAGCACTGATTGCACAATATTAGGAAATATATTTTTATGTCATATAACGTTACCCGGTAACTGACTGCATGTTGTAACGCGTTGTTTTGTTTTGCTTACGGCCATATGTGTACATGTAAATGAACGGTGCTTACACTATTCGTACTTATTGCAACATGACAACATTTTTGTAAATTATATTCTGTATAGGGACAGCTGAGGAAACCCGAAGGCTCATACGTTTTCAAGGTGAAAACGAACATCTGTTTTTAAAGTCCAAATACGGCGCAAAAAAACTTTGGGAGTGAGTAATCTTTACATGCTACGATGCTGACGGCGACATCTTGGAATTTGTGATAAACATCGGAGCATGTCCTCTGACGTAACGTTAGGAGGTAGTGACAATGGATGATGACGTATAACAGTGTAGTAGTGGTGTCCCATTTCTTAGGGGAAATTTTTTAACCCTACCCCTTTCCACTTCATTTCAAGGGGCAAGGGGAAGGGGTGAGGGGTAGGCAAAGGGGTAGAAAATAGAATTGGGATTGGGCCTAACACTGTTAGCAGAACCGGCACTGCAAGGGCAGACATGGGTGACCGTTCAGTGCCCGACGGTCGCACTGCACCTATGGGTGCCACCTTAAGGCAATTCCAGGAATCACCCATTACCTTAATTTGACCCTCCGATCTCATTTAAAGAAAAATGTTTTTGTTTTTTGGGCAGGGGTGGGCAATTTTATCCTCAAAGGGCCAGTGTGTATGCAGGTTTTTAGGATAACCTTTAGGAATAATAATAACTGATACTTTTATTGATCCCTATGGGGAAATTGTCTTTATGTCTCCCTGAACTTGCTCTTTGTAGAGTAAGTTGTCCGCACAGGGCAGCCACCTGTTGGGGCGCCCAGGGAGCTGGGGGTTAAGGGCCTTGCTCAAGGACCCACAGACGTGCTGAGGCTGGGTTTTGAACCAGCAACCTTCTGATTACAGGTACATAGGCTTAGCCCACAGAGCCACACACTGCCTAAGCACACCTCCATACCTCCAGTCCACACTTGAGCCATTTTTGTCCCCAGCCTTTTTGGACTTTAGACTTATTTAAAATGTGCTCTACATCCAGTTCATACTTCACCCTATTTCCGCCAAAGACCCCATCTTCTGCCCACATAAGAATCATATGGCTCTCATATGTGTGTCACACTGTTGTCAATATGTATTTTCTAGTGTCTTTCCAGCTGATCTCAAGGGCAACAAACTGAATCCTGATTACCAGGTGGCCTGGAGGTCCCATTTCCAATGTCTGTCTTTTCTCTAAGTAAGATCTAGAGCAAAGAGTTCCTAAGGTCATATCGCCTCTCTGCTTTGGAAGATGAGGCACCCAGTGTACCCTGCCTGTTTGTGACAAGCACTAGCTAAAAAATAAAAAAATTAAAAAAAAGAGATGCTTAGTCATAGTCTGACACAGCTGCAGATGCTGTGCCAGTTTTTAAAAAAAGACTTCAAAGTTTGTTGCATTATGACATCACAATGACATCAAACAAACACTTTAAAAACATTTTGATGAATTTGGCATGTCATACATTGGGGCTCTGTATCACGACAGGGCAAATGGATTTGTGATAAAACAATATTATGTAGTGTGCTATTTGAAACGATTCATATATATTCAGCTTCCATTGGGGAAAAACATTCAGCTAGCCAGGGAATTCCGATCCAAAAATACAGTAATGATTCTCTGGGGAGTTTGTTTCCCAGAGCACAAACAAGTCAAGCATGTGTTTTTTTTTTACAGATCTATTCAAGCAATTTAAACAGTCATTGGACTGGACCAAAATAATTCCTGATCAAACCCTTAAACTTCTGAGCATAATATAAATTATAATTTTTTTGAACGAAGGTGCCTTAGGGGAGAAACCCAGACCTAAATCTGCCGATTCATCTGGATGGTGCTGGAAGGTGCTGGATCAGGATAACAGCATGATTTAAACAGCACCCTACCCAGAACCTTCCCCGTGGTCCGAGAACCACCTGCCCTGCTGCCAGCCTCAGCTGCCCCGAACCTCCCAGCCAGCGCAGTCCGGGTGCTGCGCGGCGCATTACGGCAACTTGAAATTCAAAACACAGCACTTTTACTCACCGGAGTCCGGCCTTTAGAAACAGGACTCTGAGCAAAACACTTTCGAGGGCAGCGGAGGCCGGTCAATGCCGGATAAACCAAGGCTGGGCGGCATTTCATAAAGCTTGGGGCAGCACGTGGAAATCCAGTGTTTTAAGATTAAAATGTAAACATGGATACCTTAGAACTGGCTTCTCCATGCATCGATAGTCCCCATAATGAGACAAATTGTTCATTTAGTGCAGGGTGGAGCTCTGTCCGTGGCAAAAGCAGGACCCTCACTCTGGGTGTTTGTGGACCTTAGAGAGCAGGGACTCCCGGTGTACATGTATGGTAACAAATGGAATGTGTAAAATAGGACATAGCCATGCTTATAATTGATCCCGAGGCAGAAAACAGAACTTGGTTGGCTTGTTTGGGAGAAGACGCCCTCAAAGGATCGATCCAAGGCTTCCATGGTGATTAATAACCAAGATCCTAAGGGGGCTCTACGATTGGCCCCGAATCACACCAGATAACTTAAGCAAACATATTAATACCCCTTCTAGTAGTACATGTATTCCTGCTTATTCACAGCCTCAGGAATGTGGCTTCTGATAATCTTGACAGGAAGAGAGCTGGAAGACTGGAGCTGGGGGTGGGGGGTTGCTGTTAGGCTAAGCCAGTGTCTCCTTGTCCGAACTTTGAGGCAGAACTCAGGGTAGGATTGTGGTCACCTCAAGCTCACGGTGATTAGCTGACCAGTGCACACAAACCCCAAAGACTACATTTCAGTCTTGACTTCCACCTGCACTTATGAGGCTATTCTGTACCCTTAATGTTTGTGTATGTGTTTAGAAGGATCTGGAAAAACATAAATCCAAGTCAGACTGTGTAGTACAAATACTATATCCTTTATTTAAATATCATACAGCTTTGAAAACATATTTACAGAAACTATTTTTGCATTTTTTTCTACCGTAGACAAAGGTGCCTCTCTGGTACAAAACCGACAGACATCAGCCGCAGAAGGGGGGATGGGGGGGGGGGGGGGGGGGGGGGGGGCAGGAGGCAGAGCCGCAGCAGTGCCCCGGAAGCAGAGAGTCTTTAGAGGGCGCCAGTGATCAGCACCCGACTGCCATACCCAGGGCACACCAAGACGAGGGCATGGGAGGACGAAGCTGGTTTTCCAGGATTTTAAGGCCAACGTGTTCAGCTTGGGATTGCGCCATGGTCAACCCGCCCCCCCAAATCCCCATAGTCTGTAGGGGCAGTGCCCCTCCCAAACAGGGGCAGGCTGAAAATGGCCTCTGGGTTCATTCTAATTAAAGGAGTAAGATTATCGATGGTCAGCAACAATGAAATTTGCCATCATATTACATGGACCAGACCTGCTGCCAAATCAATCAGAAGCTCTGTTGCTCATTTTTAAAGAATAAATGAATAGAAGAAAAAAAACAAAAAGTGACCCAATTTCGTATTGTAGTGGCCAGACAGCGAGACGGGTGAAGAGCCCCACCCCTGTCACCAACCCTCTATGGCAGCGTTTCCCAGTCCGGTCCCTGGGGACCCACAGTCGGTCCACATTTTTGCTCCCCCTGAGCTCCCTGCCGGACAGCCCACAGGAGGGAGCAAAAACACGGCCTCTGTGGATCCCCGAGGACCGGATTGGGAAACGCTGCTCCATGGTTTTCCCATTTTGGCCTCATTTAGGATTTTTTCGGACTGCTCTGTCTGTACACCGTATTAAGTCAAAGATACAAAGGCCACGCAAATCAGATAACAATAATAAAATTTTCAAAAATAAAACAGCCGGACATACAAACATCACCAATCTCATAGGGAGATTTAAAAAAAAAAAAAAATAAATGTTTGGGGGGGTGACAAAGCAGCTGTGAGTCATCACACAATAGTACACTGCACACGGGGGGGGGGGTGCATGGGCCTAAGATTCACGACACAGTGACACACGTCACACACAGATGACAGACTTCTTCATTTTTGCTTATGCATATTGCTAGGCTACTCATACTGACAGACAGTCGTATGGGACGAGATCCACACAGCCAATGTATAAAAGGAAAAAAAGAAAAAAATTTCATATTACAGTATTGCTTGACGTTTTAATCAAATTCATTGCAGAAACAGGGTGGCATCTCTTTGGTGCACCCGTGTCTTCATGTGACACATTAGCCAATGAATGGGAATCACATTTTGCCCGACACCAAACCAGGTTTGGCCAGGTTCTGTGGGACAAACCCCCACTCATCACAGCAAGGTTCCTGTTGGTGGAATTAACGCCCACACCTCTCCCCCTATGCCAATCAGCCAATCACTACATCAACCTGCTTCAGGGGGCAGGCATCTGTCAGACTGGCCAAAAGGCATAACCCACTATCTCACGGGGTTAAGTGGACTGGGCGCATAGAAGCTACTTAGCAACATGAGTTGTAGGGAATGGCGATTAGCATTGTGCGTGAGTGTCACACAATGCGTGTAACGGGGACAGCAGTACACCAGACAAAGTGGCCGCTTGTGTGAACTGAAAAAAAAAACCTCACACACACAACTGATCTCTCCTCGTCGCGGTTTATGCACATGTACATCACTATTCAGTTAAATAGTGAAATGTACAGAGAGCAAGAGTCCACAGCAAACACACATACGACCCCCACCCCGTGTGAAACCTGAGGGATACGATCACGCCTGAAATACCATGTGACCAACAGGTAGCTCCGCCCCACCGCACAACAGGCCGTCGACGTCCATTTTGTTCATTCGGCGTGGCAAAAGACTGATACTAAACATATAGTGCCTTTTTCAGTCATACTTGTTTTCAGCGCGTTCCGCCACAAGCGTCCACAAATACATTGACCTTGTGCGTTGCACTTTTTTGACCACACATAACAGCACGCCCCCTACTGGACAGAAGACAGAAAGTATGTGCTCCACATGCCCCCTGCGGGACTGGTTACCGTGTATAGTCCTTGGGTGAGTGGCATTTGTGTGCATTCGTACTAAATCTGAACATAATAACAATAACAATAATAGCAATAATAATAAAATAAACTTCCCTTTCGACACATGGTGTAGGATTCAAATGTTCCTACCCCTGAATTGTAGTACATGTACAATAAATGAACAAGTCCTTTTCTCTTAAAATCCCATCACGTTATGATTAAAGACATTATATACAGCATTGAAAAAATATTTCAAAAAACACGCTTAAATACACTCAGACAGAACTCTGCTCGGATAAGGGGCGTGGCCTCTGACAGGCGTACCCTAGCTGAGCCAATAGGTGTGAGCTGCCTATCAGCAGCTCTCTGATAGGATGACCTCATCTGCCCAGCGCTCCCCTCCTTACCACGTGTCGCATCTCCACAACTTAACTTCACCATTTCAACTGCAGCAAACACCCCCGCCCCCCATACTTCGAGGACATCCCCCGCGGGGGTCACAGCGGCCACCAAGCCGTGGGTACATTCGACTGATGCCCCCCCCGGGGGCCTTCACATGACACACTGCCCTCCAACCCCTCAGTGACCAGAGGACGACAAAACAAACAGCTACAAGCCCTATAACCCGAAACACTCGTTTTCACCACCTTAACAGCAAGTTTCACTGTTGTATCACTGTTTTATTAAGACGACATTTGACACAATGTCAAATCCAGCCCTAAGTCTCGCTGACGTCAGAGCAGAGGCAGCAGTGATTGGACGATCAGGGCACATGCTACGGTCAATGTCACAATTAGCTCATGATAGGACGAACACAGATTTCATTGATGAGGACATACACGAGGGGGTGGGAAAAGGTACCAGGTATGGGGGGGGGGGCGTTGGACTAGCTGCAAAGGTCCTTCCTCCGACAGCAGCAAACGGCACGATAAAATGGCGTGCAGGCGAAAGACGGGCCGCTCTTCCTGCGGAGTACTAGTCCGTGTACTCGGCCACGATAGAGAGCAGGACCGTGATGTCATCCGGCTTCCCCCCTGCAGGGCAAATAAATGGAGGAGAGAAGAGGAATGGAATCAGGGACCTGTGTAAACGAGGAGCCGTCCGGTCGCCCCCCGGGTCAGCCGTGAGGGAAGCGTCACAACTGCAAACCGTTGCCTAGCAACCTCAAACCACCTTGAAGCCCTGAGTGGAGGAATAAGCCCATCCCTTCTTCTCGGAGAGACTCACCCCTCACGTTAAGCCCGTTGTCGCACGCAAACTGCGCAAAAGGCGACATGTAGTTGGGGTCGTAGGCCAGCTGGTGGGCCTGTTCGGCGATGCTCCGCGCCGTCTGCTGGACGCTCTCGTAGTTCGCGTTCTGTGGACAAAACGGGTGTCATGAACATGAGCCGGCCGGGGGACGCGGTTCCCGGGCCAAAGCGAGAGGTAGCGGGCCGAACCTTGAGCTTCTTCAGCTCCTGCAGGATCATATAGTCGGGCATGTTGTCGAAGAGGCCGTCCGTGGCGGTCAGGATGATGTCACCAAGCTGGACATCAAATGACGAGCTGTCCGCCGCCTCCGGGCTGTTGGGGGGGCAAAGAGGCGGACGGCCGTGAGCAGTGCTGTCCGCGGATGCTGAGGATAATCCCTACACTATTAGCCTCTCGCCATCAGGCTGAAGGAGCCCCATAGGCTTGGGCTGTCACCAGCGCTCTGTGGGTAAAAGGCCGACTGCCAGACCGAAGGTGTCATGTTCAGGCCCTGGAACACGGCCATGACCCCTTCGCCTACCCGCTGAAAGATGGCGTGAACCAAGCAAAAAGAGATTTAAAGTAAATGAGGGTGATGGTATGTCGCAGATTGCCATGTCCACCAGGAGGCGCTGTAAGCCACGAGAAAGAGCCAGGACTGTGGTCTAATGCACAATAAACACTAAAGCCTTAATGAAGGATCTTATGTGGCTATAGGGATATAAGCTGCAGACCGGCACATGGGCCAAGGACACTTATTATTACCCTACCCCACCCTGCCAGTGCTGGGGGGCAGCAGGGCACAGACTATAAACCATTTAAAAGGCCGTGGGTGAATTTAGTGTGCACACCGCTTAAAAATACTGGATATGAATCAGGAGCACATGGAAAAGCTCCTCTGGCATTGGTCAGCTTGGGAGGCACCCCAGTCCCACCCCTCACTGGAATTTGGAGCCCAGCTTGGGTGTCAAGCCCCCCCCCCCCCCCCCCACAACTCATGTAACCAGATAACACTGCTGGCAGATGACGGGGATACGTCAAACTGACTCGGGGGGCAATGACGTCATGAACACCGGCCTGTGGCCAAACGCAGGGAGAGAGAAGTAGGCCAGGCCAAATAGACAGGGTCAAAGTTCACAGTGAGGGGGGGGGGGTGGATACGGTCCACCATGCATGTTTTTCTGCATTTCGGCGAAGCGGCAGCCTGACCTGTCGCTGAGGACGGCCCCCTCGGCGCCGGGCGGCGCGATGGACAGCTGGAACGGCGTGTTAAAGTAATGCTGCTGCTCATCGGAGCGGTGCACCACCTCGCCCCCCCGCACCACCAGGAAGCCCGAGTCGCCCAGGTTGGCCGTGTGCAGCCGGTGCCTCTGCCGGTCCAGCACCACGATGCAGGCCGTGCTGCTACCTGGAGAGGGAGGAAGAGTGAGGCAACTCAGGGGGCGGGGCATCTGCCTCCGGCCAAAAGCCCGCCCCCCTCAACCCCCAGCCAATCACTCTCTACGCTTATGAATAAGTGAGCACATCAAAGAAAGGCTCACAGCGCTGAATTATCACAAAATTAAACACACGAAGACTTTTCAATACACATCATGAATTTGGGAAGCATAATGTACAACTAATTATTTTTCAGTTACATCAAGAAGCTTCTGAACAGTATTGCTTATAGATTAAATGCATAATTTATAAATGGCTCCAAGCACAGATCTCACAACATATATGAAGATGTCCGGCATTCAAGTCCTTCAATAGCAAACCATCCCCAAGGGGGCGGCAGTTTGCTGGTGTTTATGCAGAACTACACCGTGGCAGCTTGATGATTGACAGCTCTCAGGACCTGTAATGAGGCGGCCAGCAAAGGCCCCGCCCCCATGGCCACCCTTCACATTGGTGGCATGGGGTGAAGGGGTCAGGGGAAGGAGAGGCTCAGGTTGCTGCCCCCTTGTGACCAAGAAAGAATTTGACCTTTTGGATGCTGGGCATGAAGTGGGGGGGGGGGGGGGGGGGGGG